GTCGTAATCGGCGGTGGTGGCGCAGTCGTCACTGCCGTCGTCGCGCTTTCACTGTTCGCTGCGTTGTCGTCGGCCCACTGTTGTCGTCGTCATCGTTGTTGTCGTCGTCGTGGCGGGTGTAGTTGCTGATGGCGTTGCCGTATCTGAATGACGTAGCAGACAACCACGTGACCAAACACTCACGTATAAAGCTCTCTATCAATCCAGACACACGTAAGCGATAACACGAGATCGAATTACAACCAAATCAAATCAATAATAATCGAAATCAATCACGTCAATAATAACGATTACCATGTACATTTATAATCTTTATTAATATGTTGCTATTTGACATATATACATGGATATTACTTATATTATATGTCATATTAGTACACTATAAACACAGTCAATGTTCGCGATAGCTAATAGAACATATAAGCATGGAGCCATGGCAGCATGGGAGCATGAATCATGCACACGTGTAACTTAGTATCTAATAATACGTAGCACAGTAGATACATAGCACATATAGAATATATAGTATATATAGTAGCTATAGTACACACATATATATTTATATATATATATATATATATATAAACATACTATATATTACGTAGGCATAGTATCAGGAGTTGTATTATTATTTGTCATTATAAAACTCCTGATAGTATACAATGTAATGATTACGTCGTGAACTTACAGCAAAGTCCCGCATGATGCGCCTGAACAGCCGACGTCACCGCAACTGAGTGCATGGCGCTCCGAATCGCATACGGCCGAGACATGCCCGACCGCACGTTACCCCTATAACAGTAACACACACACACATACACAGATGATGAATGAATGAGTGAAGGATGGATGGATGGATGGATGGAATGATGGCATGATGAGATGCGAATGGATGGATGGATGGAATTGGATGGATGGATGGATGGTATGGATTGATGGATGGATGGATGGTAGGATGATGGATGGATGGATGGATGGATGGATGGATGGATGGATGGATGGATGGATGGATGGCATGGGATGGATGGATGGATGGGATGGGGATGGATGGATGGAGGATGATGGATTGGACATGGATGGATGGATGGATGGATGCGATTGGATGTAAGTGGCATGAATAAATGAAGAAAGGAATGGAAAGCGGATGGAAGAAGGAGATAATCTACGAGCACATGAAGTATGTACTACACCTTAATGTTTCAGATGGAATATATATAAGATATTATATATTATATACATAATCTAGAGTAGCACATTTTGAGCTAATTTTGTGCATTATCAACAAGTTACTATAGTATATGTCAGCTATTATAGTGAGCTAGTGTCGTGTTATTACGATCCACAGCTGCTCGAGCCACTCGTCAACCCGACGCAGTAGTTACACCGTGTTAGGAAGTAGTTTGGTGAGCGTGTTGTGTAAGTCGCTATGTAGACTCCCAGTGTGAAAACGAGCACCGCGCAGCCTAATATTGTGACGTATGCCACGGCCCCAGACGATCTACCAACACACAGAGAGATTATTGTACTAGATGCAGAGAGAGGGAGAGAGGAGGAGAGGGAGAGAGAGAGATTCCTGTACTAGATGCAGAGAGAAAGAGAAGCCGGAAAGGGGGAAGATCGGCGGGGAGAGGAGGAGGCGCGCGGGAAGACACGCGCGCAGCCCTATATGTGACGGTATCCAGCCCAGACGATCTACGCTAACACAGAGCACGAGAGCTATTGTAGCCTAAGAGCAGAGATGAGGGAGAGAGGAAGAGAGAGAGAGAAATAAAAGAGGCGAGAGGTGGAGGAGAGAAGAGAGAGGGGGGAGACACGCTCGCCAGGGGCCCTATATTGACTAGTCAGCCAGACGACTAGCCAACACACAGAGAAGGTTATTGTAACTAGGATGCAGAGAGAGGGAGAGAGGAGGAGAGGGAGAGAGGAGGAGAGAGAGAGAGAGAGAAGGAAAGAGGGAGAGACGGGAGAGAGAGGGGGAGACACGCGCAAGCCTTATATGTGACGGTATCAGCGCCACGACGATCTACCAACACACAAGAGAGGCTTATTGTACGTAGATGCAGAGAGAGGAGAGAGCGCAGGAGAGCGGGAGAAGGAGGAAGAGGGAGAGAGGGGGGAGAGAGAGGGGGAGAGAGAGGGGGAGACACCGCGCAGCCTATATGTGACGTATCAGCCCAGACGATCTACCAACACACAGAGAGATTATTGTACTAGATGCAGAGAGAGGGAGAGAGGATGGAAAGCAGGTGGAGAGACGAGAGATTATTGATAAACATTGGGGTACAGAGAGATGAATAGAGAGGGAGAGAAGAGGATGGCAGAGTGAGAGAGAAAGGGGGAAGAGGGGGGGGCCAGCAAGCAAGAGAGAGAGAAGGAGAGAGAGAGAAAAGAGGGCGAAGAGAAGCAGGTGAAAGGAGAGACCTCCCGTCCCTACGTCCCACTCCGCCTCTCTCTCTGTTCTACCCTCTCTCTCTGCTACTCCTCCTCCTCTACCTTCTCTCGAGGCCGTCCTGTCTCCCCCCTCTCCCCTTCTCTTTATTCTACCTTCTCTCCCCCTCTCCCTCCACCTCTCTCCCTCTCTCCCTCTCCCTCTCTACCCTCTCTCCCCTCTTTCTTTCTCCCTCTCTCCCCTCTCCCTCTCTCCTCCTCTTCCCTCTACCTTCTCTCCCCCTCTCCCTCTCCCCCTCTCCCCTCTCCCCCTCTCCCTCTCTCCCCCTCTCGCCCTCCCCCTCTCCCCCTCTACCTGTGTGTAGTGACCGATGGTTGCATTCTTGACCGCCCCGCGTCCGTAGATGAATTGTCCGTGCTCTGCATGCCAGTCCGTGATGACCTCTGTCCACGACACCTTCTGTTTGCTCGCTCCCACGTTCTCTCCACAGAACGGCCAACCTGCACAGAGCGGTCACACGAACAAATAAGCGAGGGATGGGGTGAGGAAAGGGGTGAGAGGTTAAGTAGTTGAGATGTTAATTGGTGAAAAATTGTAAATGAAGGTAAGTTTCAAGATGTAATATTATTCGCATATTAGCTATTCTACTAATTACATATATATATATATATATATATA